TTTTATGAATTACATTTTCCAACTTAAAGTTTTATAAGTTTTATAATGATTTTGCTAAATTTTTATTCACTGATAATTTTTTTGATTCTTGGATTTGCGAATCAAGTAATTAGCGATAGCCCAGGAGTAAGAGAATGTCATTGCTTCGTCCCATATAATGATTCTGTCTATTTATTTGGCGGTCATATTAAATGGTTTACATGGGCAGTAAATTCATTTTTTCATGCAGCAAAAATGCCATTTGTAACTTCTTCAATTCCTTGGGTAGCCCTTAATACTACTAATGCGGCCAATACTTGCGATATGACATGTGTTGTAGAACCTTCAATGGGTTTGCTGTTAGTCATTGGTGGGAGTTCGAATCAAAATCCAGTCTATCAAGGATTCCAAGTTTACAACTTTAAATCAAATGTTTGGAATGAAGCTCAATATTTAGTTGGATATCCTAAGGATATCAATATGGGACTCTTCCAACCCCGATCTATTTTAATTCAACCGGGAATTGTCCTCATCTGGGGCGGAAAACATTCTTATTTTACACTCCGTGTTATTTATAAGTTGGATATGACAGTAACTCCGTGGAAATGGGAAAATATCTCTTATAACGTAAGTATTATATTAACTAGGAAATATTAATTATTAAACAAACGTAATAAAATGATCACTCTTTATAGACGGCAACTATTCTAAATTCTGTTGGAATTGCTCGTTCAAAGGAAAGAGTGTTTATTTTCGGTGGCATAGAAAGATTTAAGTACGATCCAACCCTGGGAGAAGGAGTCCCGATGAATTTGTCGTATATTTATAATATTACAGAATCTCAAATTCTTATACCAGACTATCAACTTCCTTATGCTTTTACTCATTCAGTAGTAGGCGTTGTTGACGATTCTATGTTTATTATTGTGCTTAGCTATAATGATTTTCTTGAGGATAGACAGATGTCTATCATTCCTCTTAATATAGCTCGACTTAAATTTGAAACCCCTTTTGAAGCATCTTCCAATTTAACCAAAGCACGACTTCGTGGGGCGGGGGTCCAACCTCTTGGTTCAGATGTAATATTGGTAAAT